CCTAGTATCCTTCTTCAATGAAGATGCGGAAAAACATGTACAACTGAACGAACCGATGGCTCGATGTTCCAAGTTGGGAAAGTGGGTGACTAACTCCGAACTGGTAAGGGGAGTTTTTACGCAATCTGACAGTATGGGAACGACAATTGATGTCTTTGAACCTAGGGTTCGCTCATCGTGCCATTGTATTAAGTGGGACACCATACACGATGTTTTTATGTTCCTATCGACAGATCTAAGTGGGTAACCATTTCTGATGAATATTTTTGAAGTAGTTTGTTATCTATTGTCATTGGGACATATTCACCTGATAGTGAATGCAAAACATTTACTAGTTCGATACAGGAGCATCTAGTCAACTCTGTGCACATCAAATCAAAAACTCATGCACCACTGAGGCGTTAGCGATCCGCCAATTCAAGCCTGAACTCTGTGTTCAAAGACGATACATCCAACCTCTCTTCCTTTCTTGGCTCTAATTCTCTTTTGTAGTTTGTTTTAGTCCCTTTTTATTAATGTTTCGCAATCTTAAACTTTGATCAGTTATTATTATCCCTTAACAATTTTTCATGATTATACTCCAATTATTGTTATGACGTTTATATTTTCCGTTATTCTTCATATATGTAAAGTGGACAGCTCTCTTCCATAATTCTGACCTGTACATTATCTTCATTATATGCTTCTCTAACCCCCTGATTATTACGTCACCTCACTTGAGTTTCGAATCAATTTTTCCTATCCTTCTACAGACATATATTTACGACACAATCATAAATACGAGTGTCCAGTTTAATTAAGTGATTTCATCCAAAAGGGAATCTTCGCGGGATTCTATTTATTTTTATTCAGTGACACAATGTGTTATTTTAATTGTATTAGTGAAAATGGAAAATTTTGGATATAAAGGTTATCGTCCAAAGAAATGTGAACTAGTGAGGAAAAAGTTAGGATTTAAAGGACAACAAGGAGTGGATAAATCTGCGTTAATACCAACGATCTTGAACCATGTTACCCAAAGTCTTTAAACATGGATTACGATAATCACTGGGACCTCAACTAGTTAGTCTGCACCTGCTTACATAACTCAGTCCAACCTAGTCCTACATCAGCCATCATCGTGCGTCGATGCAGTTAGTAGATGAGAATGCTTAATACATGTCCTAGCCATCTCAATCAACAAAGATTCATCACTGCCTCATCAACCGATTTGTAATACCTAGTACTCAGAAGTGCTAGCTCGATGGTCCCAAGTATACGAGAAGTGCTATAATCGAATACTATTTCAATGACTATATGTAGATTTGAAGGTCCTGTCCCAAATACAGAGAGCACAGCGGACTGCTGCCGCCACGAGAAACGGTCCGTTTTACTAATAGCTCGACAATAGCACTTCCTCTAAAAAAGGAAACCATGCATATTTAATTGAATATTTATGGATCAAAGCCATTTTCCTGAGGTTCCTGCAGAATTCCTTTCATTTTGATACATATATGTGCCGTGATATGTTTAAAGTCATCATATGAGTTGCTAACAAGGATTCAAGTTGTAAAGGCCCATAGATCATTACAAAATAATGTTTAGGAAATACACTGGTAAGAACGGCGGTCGATTAACTATCCTAAATTACAAGAATGCAGTATTCGTTTTGTGTTTACGATATTTCCCAGCAAACGTATTACAATGATGATTGGATGCGTTGAGATATTGTATATTTTAATTAGATGTAATTATTCACCTACCATTTCCCGATCGAGAAAATTATATTCAAAGAGACGAGAAAAAAGTTGGCTTCACTATGCATTGTAACAAAGGGCAGTTCCCTTATGTTATCTAAGATCTCAGTTACGCGCTGTCTAAGTGTAATACTCTTTTAAAGTCATGAGTGGGGTCGAGTAAATATACAATCGCAAAATATAGTGAACACCGACCATGAAACTATTCAAGTGAAATAACAGTATACCAAAAGCATTTATGCTGACTGGGTTACAAATGATGAAAATTTAAAATAACTCCATCAACAACCTCTCTTACTTAACTGTTGATGAAGCTTGATTCCTGCCATCTTAGTTTATGTAATCATAACGATAATACTCTCACATGTTTTTATGTCATTTAAGATTATTTGTCTGAAAAGGGTCGATAATTTTATAATACAGATATTTCACGATACAATCAGTCACCACATTTCTATTCATTAGTCTCTATACAACGACAACTTCTAAATTGAGTACATTTTTAAAAAAATAGTGTAATTGTTGGATACTAGCTGCTCTGCTTTTTGACTGCGAAGTGTATATTTATCCATATTTTCTTCCTTGTGTCTAGCTTTGTATGCTTATGGGTAATCAACAGCCAAAGTGCTGCACTGCGTCCAGTTGGGGGGAAAGAATCCCATTACGCTGAAATCATTGAAAGCTGAGTTACTAAGTAATAAATAATTACTGACTTAAGTCCCTTCTGCTAAGAAACTGCTCGTTACATTTATGTAAAATATACGACAATGGGAACACCAAATAACTGACAATTTACGCATGACCATTTCGTGACCTCATTCTGGTCACAATTTAAAAATCGATAGTCAGTGCTGTTGAAATTCTCAAAGTTACATTAGTTATCACTACTAATTAACGGACAACTTTAGAAGATAAAATAATAAATCAGCGGAATAATATTTCTTGTTGGGCAAAAGTTTGCGAATGTTACGATCGAGGTCTATTAGCATAGTGAAGATTATGTCTGAAAGGAAAAGTGAATTAAATATTCACTATAAAATATGTATTCGATGCAAAGTATTAAATCATTTTCACATATGAGAAAAAGACAAAACCTAGTCCTAATTTACGTATGTGATGGAATCCCGAGATATGCTACAGATAGATCTGAAATACTGTGGAAGTCAGGTGAAGTTCTGTTCCCAAAAGACAAAATCTCAGCAAAATATCCAGATAATCACCCAACACGATAGCGAGACCATCACACACCCATGAGAACTATAGCGATTCGACAAACGTCTAAGGCAGTTATTCAGTGACCAATTGCGCCATCAAACATTTTGATTGACGGAGTTTAACAACGCCGTTAAATGGAGGAACATGATATTATAATTTAAAACATCTTGGTATGAGAAATTCGGGTTCAAAGACCCAACTTGACTTGAGAACAATCTTTGGAAGTTTGTCAGTCAAGAGCTTCAATTAGGGGCCGAAGCCACTTTGAATCCGACTACACTTGCATTACAGATGTTGGTTTCTAGTCACGCACGTGGTAAGATGTGGTGTTTGGATTAACTAGTGATTCCTTTGTACTTGTTGAATGCTTGATTTCGAATTTCAAATACAGTACATTCGTTCGTGCTTATCTAGTACTTCTTGATCCGATTACGTTATTTCTGGGATTCTTAGTTCGTACTATAATTCAAATACTCCTAATCATCATATTGGCGTCATGATTGAGCCTGTGATGGAACGGTTAGACATACATTCAGATTTTGATGCTTTTGAGGATTACCTCGAAAGGCTCAAAATCTGGGCTATGACCAAGGAAGATGATGAGGATGTTAATATTGTAGCACATTTCCTTACATTCATCGGAAAAGAAGCATATAGCTTATTGAAGGCTCTGGCTTTATCGGAAAAGCCCATTTCGCTTTCTTATACAACTCTCAAGGATCTACTGCTAGACTATGTTAAGTATACAAATTTCGAATGTGGTAAAGGAGGAAGATTCCGTAAAATGATTCATGAGGATATAAAAAATTCCACTGCATTACGTCATCCCAACCCAGTGCATACTCAAGGCTATGTAGATAATTCATTGAAGAGTTGCGATGCACTTCACGAAGATGGGCACAAGTTTGGTCAATGCTTGTCCTGTGGCAGGTTCCACTTTTTTAATTCATGTAAATTTCGTAATTCTAAGTGCTCTAAATGTGGTGATATTGGACATATTCAGTCAGTTTGTAATACTAATGTTCATCTTACTGCAACTAATATTAAGTCTTGTAATTCTGATTCTACTGAGTCGAGTATTCATAATGTTCATTTATCTTTATCAACGATTTCAAAAGACAGTGTAGAGTCATATAGCAGTTCAGAGTTAAATGAAACTCAGAATCCTTGTGAGACAACAGTTTCTAATCAATCGATTTGTCAGAATTCTCATGTTATTGTACCAGGTATGGCTTTTCTTGATGATTCACATATTTCTGATGAAATTCCATGCAAATTTGAAGAAAATATGTTTGGTGAAGATAATTATGATCGAAAACCTGATGTAGTTTTGATAGATACTAACTTTTCTAATGATCCTTTACTCTGTAATGACATTCTTAATAAATTTGAGGAAACTATTTCAGAAGAATCAAATCTTGATGTCATATCAAATATTATTTGTCCTCATAATGCATTTGTTTCTTGTGGGAAACTTATTCAGTGCGAAGCACAAGTACTAAATGGACTCGAGTTTGATTACAATTCGGATGATTTCATATCAACTGCTGTTTATCCTTATCACAAAAACACTTCTAATGTTTACTCTAACCAATTTGAGAAATATTTTTTAAATGAAGCCACGTCATTCATAAATTGGGGATATAAGGATCCAACAGTATTTCGTGGGGGAGGATAGTCTAAAAGTCTATGGTTCAAATTCTAGGTAGCAGCGGTTTCAGCACACAACCGACATGCTGATTACACAATCCTAGGAAGCAGGTGAGTCTGTTCCGATTTCAGTTGTTAATTCTAATACTAATGAGCACATTCTAGATAATACAGAGTCTTTATCCAATACACTGTCGGACAGACACAGGATGAACTTAAGAAGACGTACGATCGATTACAGACACTTGGACTCTAATTTAAACTGTGGCGGATGTGGTGTTTGAATGAACTAATGATTCCTGTGTTTGTTGAATGCTTGATTTCGAATTTCAAATACAGTACATTCGTTCGTGCTTATCTAGCACTTCTTGATCCGATTACGTTATTTCTAGGATTCTTAGTTCGTACTATAATTCAAATACTTATTATTATCATATAAGATACTAACAAGCGAAAGGTAACTATGCGTGGTTGCAGAGCTTCTTCTTAAATTAGCATTTCCATCGTCCATACCCCCAGTGTTAAGAGTTTACCACTAATCTTTCTTACTCAATAGTAGTTTCATCAGGAGCCATACTTGTAGGCTAGATGTAAGCCTAAGATGCACTTTGTTGCAATTTATTTCAAAGATATGCCAAATTGTGTTTATCAATGAGACCAACTCTATACTGGAGATAAACAACAACAATTATTACGTATTCGTGGTACAAGCCTGTAAAACAAATTTAATGCATTCTCTGAGATTAAGTGGCCACCACATTGTCTGTTGTATGAAAAACATTGAACAAACGGAGGCAGTCAGCCTCAGTAAGTCAAGAGGGAATTGTATTTAAACTCTGCCACTCAAGTAGTTCAGGACTTGGAATTTCGAGAAAACAAATATGAATAACTCGATGAAACGAAATCACATGAGACAAAACAATGAAACTAATATACAATCTACATATTGATTCTAACATTGATAATAAAAGTAGGATAAATTAACTTACATTGCATAACTTAGAGACTCCAGCTAAAAAACAGTGAGATAATACATTAATCACCACTAAAAGATAAGTGGATTTTCTTACTGAGTAACAAAATAAACATATTACACTTAAATTCATAGAATGGTATGACGAGAGATAAGATAGAACCGTAAGTTTTACGATTGCTTGCTTTGAGAAAATAATGCAGTGACTGAGTTCGGCGTCTTGATAACTCACTGAGACCTGAACCCCCAACCAAAGAGGTTCCAAGAAACAAAACCACCGGGCAACTGAGTTGGTGTATCGGGATTTGAGTATGTAAGTGTATATTAGGAGACAAATGCTTCCATTCAACCAAAATAGTGATAGCTACTTGTCAGGTAATAAATGAATGATAGTAGCAGTAATTACCAAAAATAATCGAATGACCATAAAAAGGACTGAGGCGACCTTGGATCCCTTTGACGCCACCTAAAGAAAAAATGCACTTTGCTTCCGACATTTTGCTTCGAAGCAGATCTAACATTTTGAATAGCTGAGTCACATGATCTTCAAAAGCTAACTAGGAAATCTTGATCTACTGACAAATATCAACCCGATACAGTTACTAATCGCTAGGAAATATAGAGTAATGCGCCGATCTCACTTGTTTTCACACGGTCCCAAGGCGAGGTAGAAATTAAAAGAACGGGACGTACTTTATGCTACCTTAATATAACTTTCGTTTCGAACAATGGTTGAAAATACACTATATATATATATATATATATCTATATGACAGAAATTTAAAAACTGATGATATGGTAATAATAAATGTAGCTTGCTTACTAAGTGCAGGTTCTACTCAGTGTCTTCTCGAGGGGAGGGTGATGTCTACGAAATTAAAAGGACGAGAAGCGAATGTCCGGCGCTTTAGCCGGGTTGATGGATGCGAAGGATCCACCTGGGGGAGTTGAAAAACCCTGATTCAAAACCATTGGTGTACATGGGCTCCAGGATCCTGATGAAATAGAAGGCAAACGAACATATTGTTGGTCACGGGCTACCATGGGACTGCATCTCCTGACGTTGCTCCACTGCCTTGTGAATTTGACCCCTCAGAAGACCACTTGCTTCGGTCTGTGCGCCCGTGGAGTATCCCAGCCCTCACACAGATCATTTGATTTGTGTGGTGCATATATATATATATATATATATATATATATATATATATTTGGTGACTTCTTGTACCAATGTTTATGTGTTTAAATAAAGAAAACAGCTTCATTTACTTACCACTGAGTCACACTGCTCGTGTGAGGTTACAGTGTTTAACTGCCAAAACTCAAATAGGTGAAACAGTTTAAACTTTTCCATCGATGATTCTTCCTAGTTTTTAGCGACTCAACTTTTTAAGATATTGGGGCAAATTACCTATCTATAACATACTCAGTTTCTAATTGTTTGCTGCATAAACTTTCAGCCAGTGGATTAGATAATGCATTTAATTGATTAAAAGAGACGATAACAGTTACTACCACAAAATTACATGAATAAATAGCACTTAACTCGAAAAACCAAAGTAGATGGAATAAACTGCAATTCATGAACAATTAGATGTAAATCAGTAGTCTAAACGAATTAGAAAGGAGGTTCAAATAAAATGTTATTCCAGTAGGTTTTTAGGCCTGTACAGTTTTAAGAAATGAGATACAAAGGGAATATTAATCATTTCCCTGATTTAAGACACAACAGATAAGACAAGGAACCATGATGCAATAAAATATCTGAATGGTGGATCCTGAAGATCACTAATAATTAGCACGGCAAATGATTCTATAAGTTCAATAAGGAAGTCCTAATATCGCATTTTGTATGAAGAAAAATGGTTAAGATATATAACAAAAAAATAGCAGTTAGGATGAATAGAGAAGTACAATCAAAAGACGGTTACGTTTAAGCTAAAACAGTAAGTCGTATAAGATATAGAATGCACACATACTTACTCGTGTGACTAGTGCATCAATATTTGCCTTTGTAGTCTTCCGACCTTCATCCGTTAAAAGTCTAAAAGAATAATTTCGACAAAAGTTAATTACGCTCTAACAGGACGCCGCGCGAGAGTTGAGCCTGTTTCGAGGATCGACATCATTTTCCTATCTTGCTCAAAATGCAATCGCATAAGTTCTTCTTGCTGATTTCGTATTGAGTCAAGTTTTTCATAAGGACAATTTGGACCTACATTTTTACTGAATAAGAGTGACAGTTCATTACCAAACGATGATTTCCCAGCGTTAAATTCATCCAACAACTTTAAAAGACGAGCTTCCATACGTTGTACATCATCTACATGGATAGCAGGTGCACTATCTTGATTGGCTGAATCATTGTCTGGTTAAAATATACTTCAGAAATAAGAATAACATACTGCAATCATCACTGTTAGGGAACATATTCTGTTCAAGAGACATCAACTCCATTTACCTGAATTAAGAATACTTTGAAGTAAATAAAGTTATATATAGCCTATTTTTGATAAAAACATTCCTTGTTACATCGAATAGTTTTATGAACGCCTCTGAAAGAACTATGCCAAACTATTACCGGTAAATTTTGAGTTATTTTAACAAAGAATACTTAAATAATAAAGTTCATATTCTTTTAACCATAGGAAAAGGAATCGTAAAATCAGAAAGATAGTCTTACTTTGTGTTAGAAAAAGGAAATAAACTACAGTTATCTTCTTAATTTTCCGCACAAATGGATGATACAGACAAAACCAGACTGAGAGAATCTATCAGTGCAATAGACTTAGTAGAAATCCATTGGTTTTTCCCAACTCTTTTATTCAAATTACCAATAGATTTCGCTGCTGTTTCCACGACCGTTTGTATATCTTTCCAAGCAACATCTGGGTCAACCTCGCTTTCTGAGCTGTCTAAGTGTGACCTCAGTTGTCCCTGGAATTTACTTTTGGATTTCTCGACACTGAGTTCAACTCTAATGGGTCCTTTTAATGTGGTTTTTCTGCGTCGAGAGAGGCGCAAGCAAATTCGTGCTCATACTAGAGCATGACCAGTCTAAATGTATGTTTCAGAATAAGTAGCAGTCCTCTATCGACCCTCCCTAACGATGAATGATGGCAATATGTTTTATTTGAGTCCATCATTGGTTTGGTGCAGGGGGTTGTCATGTTAGACAATGTCTCTCCTCAAACTTAAAATGTTTTTCCTAAAAATAAACCATTGTCTGAGCACAGTTGCAGCAGACAATCAGAACTATCTGTTATCTGAGCCGGAATACTAAAATACCCACCTAAATGTCTTTCTGTTCGGTTTAAGCCACCTACCCGGGGAGTATCACGGCCCACACATAAATCAATTAACTTGTGTGACGCGTATGTATTCGGTACCCCTATATACCAATATTTATGCGTTCAAATAAAATAAAATACAGTGGGAGCGTAGGTAGAATTGACGAAAAGGCAACGACGTGTTTCCCTATCCTTCTGAGTTCTTACGGAGCCGTTTAGCCAAACAGCACATAGGCGAATATTAACGGGGATACATCAGTGGTACGAGATTCTAGGATTTTAAGCAAGGAGGCCTGTTAGTCGATTTGACACAGGGTGCATACTTTGAACGCTCCAATGTGTAGTTCGGAGCAGGGTTTCAGTAGACCTGGGGCAGTGTTTTACGCACTAGAATCCTTGGTCATGGTGACACTTGAGGAGGAAATCAAAAGAGGTTTATGGTTGAAAGTCGATGTAGGAGGAATAGTAGGAATTAAAGATGGAGGGTGTAAGTATCCGAAGGCTAAAATGAGTCCTTTGTATGCGCCCTTGAACTTTGTCACCCATCATTTAACCTGGTTCGGTGAGAAAAGTCAGAGTGCTTATACATCTTTACCGATGATTAAAGTAGACATCAAGCACAGACCCATGCACTCAGCATGAAACCAGACTTCGTGAGTAACTAGGCTGGCCGGGCACATAAAATATAATATATGGGGTGGAATTCAGACTTGCAGTGTAAAAGTTGAAATGTGACTGGTTGTTAGCCAATTAGTTCGCTACATCTACATTACCACTAGCCAGTTGACACAAAAGTGAAACAATCAGGGGTTGACATGGGAATAACTAACAAACAGTATAGGTAGTTTAACCAGAATAAACTACCTATAAGAGACAGTCATCAACCAGAAGCTAATTTTTTATAGTTGACTGGTCAGAAGAGGTAAAATTGGAAAGTAATAAACTTGGTTTGAGAACTTAGGTACTGACTTTTGTGTAATACTTTCTCAAATTTAAAAAAACGGTAAGGACACAAAAATAAAACAATTAGTCACCAAAAATACGAAATTTGCCGTACTCTGTGCACTGGGAAGACTCAATCTGGTGCTCCTATGGAATTATTGGTGGTACCAAGCACGGGTAATAAGGGAAGGCTGGGTGTAGAGCTAGAAATTTCAATTTGCACAAAGACCACTACGAAAACACCAGCAAACAAAAATTCAGTTGAAACTTACTCTAAAAATGTAATGGTCGTCACGCAGAGGAGTTACAGAGCTTGTGGTGAAAGCCAAAATTCTTTGCAAGAGAAGAGATTGACAATCAGGACAATGATAAACATACAAACATGGAATATCTAGACAATGTAAGGGACTAGGAGGATCATTTAAACAGCACGTGAAATGAGAAGACACAACCTAACCGAATTGAGAACAGGAAAAACTCACTGTACATAGTCTAGACGTAAAAGATTAACGTAATAAGAGAACGCTGTATTCTGGTCACGAAGGAGAAAATCCTCTGTTGCACTGATCCTGTCCAAAGAACCACAAAAGCACCCACATAGTTCAAGCCTCAAGGCTTTAGAATCATTAGAGAATCTTTCAAAACAAAGAAGGAAGGAAGACCAGTTCATGCTAGATATATAACCAGGAAAACATCTGACGATCCTGATGTGGGATCTAAATGCTAAGATCGAAATGGACAACGCTGAGTATAAATACATCGAAGGGAAACATGAAATGGAAGAAAGAAATGAGAATAATGAGAGTGGTAGGTCTGCGTGCTGTCAACAGCATAACCATAGGCAACAGTATTTCTCCCAAAAAAATCATAAGCAAAGTAACATGGGTTCCACCTGACCACACTATTGAAAACCATATTGGTCGCATACACAACATTTTCAACAAACCAAAAGGTGCTGAGCCCCAAAAAGCACAAGCACAATGGATCACCACAGAGTCTGAAGACAATTCAAAATGGTAGGTCATGGAACAGCAGTTAACAGCCGAACAAAATCAGAGAAATCAATGTACAGAATCGAACGAACGAGTAAAGGTTGACACCAGAGATGATAAACGGAAATATGAAGATGACTTGCTGTTATAAATCGCTTTTCTTACGGTTATGACCTAGCTATTCCTATTGCTTAGTATTCTCGGACACCGGTTCACTCGACAAGTCCCCAAATCAGAACACGGTTGAACAGGAAAGAGATTATATTCCAAATAGCAAGTCAGAAGCACAATAGGGAAAACGTCAGTATATTTATAGTTTTTACATAAGAAGATTCCAGAGTGTTCTCCAACTATCGGCTAGTGCTGATTGGATAAGAATTAGCCAATCAGCGTGCACCAAAGCAATCATGCATTGAGCATGCTTTAATCTAGTCTATGTCCCGCTAACACTTGCCAAATACGGTTAAACAAGCCACAAGAGGGAATATAAAAGATCACATGATACAAGAGAAACTCTAGCAGAGAAGCATAGTAGACTAGACTGACTTGTCAAGAACGAGGAATGAAAAGACGTTAGGAGAGTCTAGCACATTGTGGTAACTACCAAACTGAATTACAAGAAATTTTTCTAGCTTAGGATGCTCAAAGTGAAAGGAGGCAAACTAAAGAACGTGTCTCCAGAAGTTGGAGGCCAACATTAAAGCCTTGAATACATTTCAGTAATATTTGGAAAGGACAAACCACGGCCGATTAGTTTGGTGCCTAGTAGGTGCTTGTTGAAAGGTCATGAACCATTTGAGTGTGAGTACCAAAACGTCCGTAATATCTGTAAGAAAACCATAGCCAAATCCCGTACCACTTACGAACGACAGTTAGTATATGATAGCCGTACTTGTCCGAAACGATTGTTTTCGTATGTTAAACGGCGAATGAAATGTAGTGATGGTATTCCCCCGTTACTGTTACACGAAAATTAAGAATTACTAGCTGAATCAGATCGAGCAAAAGCTGAGACTTTTTCAAACTATTTTAGCGAAGTCTTTTCTACGTTTATTGTAACAAATACTTGTCCCACTCACACCGAGATACCAACCATTGAATCTGTACAGGTGACTGAGGAAACCGTCCTTCCGTTGATAACTAATCTCAAACCTGGTAAGATACCTGGCCCTGACGGGTGACATCCACGGTTGCTGTAATCTCTTGCGGACATTATTTCAAAACCGCTCGCGACACTCTTCAACATGTCTCTTTCACTCGCTCAACTCCCTAGAGATTGGAAGGACGCTATAGTCAGTCCTATATTTAAGGACGGTCAGAGACAGATAGTATCTAACTACCGGCCTGTCAGTCTAACTAGTATAGTCGTTAAGTTACTTGAAAAGATAATTCGGGTTAGGTTGCTAAGCCACATAGATCTACACAATCTGTTAGCTCCTGAGCAACACGGATTTTGTAACAAGCGTTCATGCTTGACTAACTTGCTTATTGCGAGGGAGGATTGGACAGCAGCCCTAGATAACAGTGTCTGTCGATGTGATATTCATAGATTTTAGCAAAGCATCTGACAAGGTTCCACACGTAAGTCTTATGCAGAAGCTCACGAGCTTCAGAATAATAGGTACTGTACATGAGTGGATAGGAAATTTCTTATGTGACCGCAGACAGAGAGTGAGGGTCAACGGAACGCTATCCGACTGGAAGCCGGTCAAAAGTGGTGTACCCCAAGGCACCATCTTAGGCCCTTTGCTCTTCCTTCTCTACGTTAATGAGTTACCGCTGTTACTTAGGTCGTCGACATTATTGTTTGCGGATGATGTAAAAATCTGGAGAATAATAAAAAGTGAGGCTGATCATCTAGATCTTCAAGCTGACTTAGACGATTTAGTTAGATGGGCTCGAGGGTGGGGCTTAGAAATCAATGCTAGGAAGAGTGTGCTAATGCACATCGGTCACGGTAATAGTTACCGTTACACTATTGAGGGTAAACCTCTTCCATGCGTTCAAGAGCATAAAGACTTAGGAGTAGTATTAAGCCATGATTTAAAAACAACTACGCATTGCAAAGCAGCCGCTGTCAAAGGTTTCCGTGCGTTATGGTCACTTCGCCGAGCGTTCAAATCTTCTGACGAGGAAACGTTTCGAATTTTATATCCCATATATGTAAGACCACATTTAGAGTACTGTATCCAAGCAGCTAGCCCATGTCTGGTACAGGATACTAACTCCCTTG